CATTAGACCACCTGAAAGGAAGTTTTCAAAGCAAATGGAAATATCAAAGGGAAGAGAAGAAGGCCAGATGGAGGAGGGGAGCTGTCACGGGGCTGAAAGGGACGAGCACACATTTTTGTCAATTTTGCTCTGGTTTCCAAATGTATTACACAAGATAACTCTTCCAGCAAGCCCAGAATTGCACAGCAGTGGTTGTCACACCCTCTGAGATCTGTCTGCATTTAAAGCTGACAGAGGGCTCGCCTTTAGCATTGCCGTTGGAGAATGTCCTGGTTTCTTTCCAAGTCACGTCTGTGAATTTAGACAGATGTAGTGATAAAAATATTTGCCGAGTGGATACAAGGTTAACAAAACATTGCATTGGTCTCTCTCTCTCTCTCTCTTTTTTTTCTAACCAGTTAGAAGCAGAAGAGCAAACTTGAATGCAGATGAGGGACTCGATTAGAAAGTTGTGGGAGGATTTCATGGAAAGCCAGGGGAGACCAGGCGATTTGACAGAGACGGGCTTTCTGCGTTGACAATAGAAGTGTGATGAATGAATATGAAACCTGCTTTCCCTAAGTTATGCTGCCCTTAAGTTCTTTCTACAGATTTCCAGCCAATAACTCAATGTTTGAAATTCCTTCTTCTCTAAAAACACCATCTTGTACCTGGAAAAGAAGATTCAAGATTTTTTTTCTTCTTCTTCTTCTTCTTTTTTTCCCCTCCAGAGAGAATATTTTCCCAATTACTCAAGTGATGCACTTTTCCACCTGGACTTCATTTCTGTTAACTATATTGACTCTCATAAAATGGACTAAAATTATTTTCACTGTTCACTTTTCAGTAAAAATTCCATTGCTATGTATCATGTCTAGCCTCCTGTGTTAAACTTATTAGCACCAGAGTGTCCAGGTTGGGCTCAAAGGGCAGAAGGCACGCACAGGATCTGAAAAGTCCATCAGGGAAATTCGAATCTGTCCCTCTGAGACAGGTGCAGTGGCCAATTCACATCTTTAACTGGGATCAGGAAGTTTAGAGCCCCCATCAGCCTCATCTGGATCTCTTTTTCCAAAAGTAACACAGTTCTTTCTTTGCTATTTTACCAAATGTGACTTTTCATCCTGAGTGTAAGCGGGCAGTCTGGTGCCCAGTGGACCCATCCTGGAAACATTACACTGGGACAGCAGCAGCAGTCACTGAAAAGTCAGAGTGGAAACATCTGGCTCCTCTTCCAGGAAAACTTCAAAGCAGGCAGGGCCCACTCCTGTATGCTTCTCCCTTAAATCAGGCCAAGTTACATGGTCGATATTTTTCAGTCTGTGTCTTGCAAAAAGGTGAAGCTGGCTTTGTCCCCAAAAGGCTAGAGAGTGAGGAGAGGCTGAGAGAGGAATTGGCTTCTGCTGTGCTGCCAGTGTCACAGTGCCGGTGTGCCCACATCCTCCAGACACGCTTTGAGTGTGGTGATGACGTCTGGGTTTCCGCAAAATGGGAGTGCTTACTGCTGACATGGCCCTAGAATGAGATCATCTTGGCAATTCAGTAACTCAAACCCCTTCCAAGGATGGTTCTGCCATCATCAACATTTTAGTTCTAATGGAAGAACAAGAGTCACATTGAGTTTGTGGGCCATCAATCTGAAAATCAAGTTCAATCCAAAGCAAAAAGGCATCTGAGAATTTACAGCAGACGAAGAGGGAGCCTGGGCTAGGTGAGACTCGTCGAGAAAAGTAGGGATAGGACTTCAGCGCAA